TTTCATGAGTCCTCTGCTCTCGAGTCGAATAAAGTTTTTCAATCGAAACAAAAACAGGGTTGTATTTGCAACATCATTAGTGCATGAATACCTAACCAAATAAATGCAAAGAAAGAGAAGAAAATAAACAAAGCAATATTCCAAATAAATTATATTAATATATACCTACGTACATATATACAATTCTCCTATAAATTTCCCAAGAATGATATTTTCCATTTCTTCTTTCATAATATCCTTTTATTTTATGGCACCAAAAAAGAAAAGCATCGAAAATAACTGTTTGCTTTTCGGACCTTGCGTCAATCATAAGGTTATTTAGTCTTTACATTCATTAATAGTATCAAATATATGCATATCGTATTGACAATTTGTTTAACTTCCCTTTTGAACGTATTCTTCGACATTAATTTTGCAGTTGACCCAGTTTTCATTTGATATTTACAGAACTGGTATATAGGGTCGATAGCTATAAACTCACTACTCCGCTCGTCGATTCGATAGTTGACACGACATCGGAGGCCATAAATTCCGACGTAACAAGTAAGAATATTTTAGTCAAGCAAGGCCGACCTTTAAAAACACTACACCACATTTGTCTAATATAATTCTTAATTTTATTATAGAACACAAAAATTATGTCTTCTTTCTATATTACGGCATATTTTTCATATAGAACAAGTTTACTCCTTACATGGGGCAGAATGCAAAGATATGCGTAGGTGGTCCAAATTTTGTATGAAATTGTTTTTTTTTTATGAAATTACTACTGCGGGACAACTTTCATCACCACGTAGTAAAACTTTTCTGCCCCACGAAGGATCAAATATCGTGAAATCCGTATGTAGCGAAGAATCCAAAAGACCAGCCCAAGACGATCCAAATTTTGTAGGGTTAATTTTTTTATGTTAAATCACTACTATGGTATAATTTTCATCATGAAGCATTAAAAATTACAACTTTTTGTCGTATGAACTTCAGTTTTCATTATATGAGAAGGGGTTAAAATTTGCCCCAGTCGGTCCCAAGCTTTCACACCAATTTGGATCACCGAAATATTACTACTTAGCCACTTGTACCGAAAAATGTTGAAAATTAAAATTTATTTCCATATAACAACTTTGCAGAAGAAACCGTTATAGGGAGGTTAGTCGAAAAAGTGGACCAGTCCTAACCATTTTCCATGGCGTTTGTTGAAGCGAGGGTCAAAACACGTCACGTTTTCCAAATTTTGTCGAAATGTCTCAAAAAATGCAACCTTAAGCTTGAATACAAATTTAAATGGACAGACGGACAGACAAGGTTGACCTGTATAACAAAAAATGGACCTATCTTAGGCCCTTCTGCGTGCTACATACGTCAGCACTAATTTAATATATTCTGTACTACAAGTGGTTCAGTATATAAAAATTAGCGTCAAGTATATTCGACTGCCATAAATCGAGCCCTGGTAAAAAATTGTCATTTTTGTCATACTTTATAGAGAGTTTAAAGTACAAATGCAATTGCAGTGCCATGTCAGTTTATTGGCGCCGTCGTCAAATAAACTCGACGTTAATTTTTGGGAAATGTCATCATTTGGTCGAAAGTTACAAACAAAAATGTTGTCTCAGCCTGTCTCAGTTTGTGGTTGGCGAGTTCCTAGCTAAAATGGAACAATGAGTGCAGCTGGACACTCGCCACTCACCAGAGTGGGGTTTATTGTTCCATACACAATAAACTGATCTGGACTCTGGTGCTGTTTAGGCCCCTACTCTGTGGGGATTGTCTAACTCGCCAGGGGGCGTAGTACGCTTAAAAAGTGGTTTGGGCCACCGTGGGGTTAAGCCTTACAGGCAGGAACCCACGTTAAACCCTTGCCACAAATTCTGTCTCAGTTTCTACTGCTGTAAGTGTGTCTGCGGGACGACGACAATCGTTTTTTAACCTTGTCTTCTTAATCGATCGAGGAATGTTTGTTCCAAATTTCAAATCCCCATCTTTATTTTTACGATTGTAGCGAGCCGAGAAATGCAGGAGAATGAAATGGTCCCCTTTGGTAGAAATGTTACGTGCACAAATTAATTTTCCCTAATAAAATTGGTTGCCTGTCACGTTCAATTTTCCCGAAATTTCAGCCATATAGATAACATAGATATTGATGCTTGAACGATGTAAGTTTCACTTGTTTACAAGCTGGCGCTCAGTGTGTATCAAAGATAAAACAGATGGATGTATTTTGTGGAGCTGCATTTTTCTGTATCTTTAACTGAATTAATCTGAAAAAAAATGCGACCGAAGCTATGGTAGGGATTGAGCTGCGAAACAGTTAGAAAGTGATTACGAAATTTTGGGCAAAAGGTCTTAATTGTGAAAACGATGTAAATGCACATGCGTCCGCGCGTTGCTCGCGGAAAAAAACCAAGGAAATAATTTTCAACTTATGTTGGAAAGTTTTACTGCACCCGCGCTCCAGACCTGGTCTCCTCCGATTATCTTTTCCTGATCTCCCTGTCATAGATAATGATCGCGCATTATTCGATTACTAAGCTTTGTAGCAACAGGATTGCATATGTCATCAGCATCTGGCCATGTTTGTTATAAGAATTTAAAGATCTTTCGATATAAATAAAAATCACAAACACATTTTGGAGCATTGCATGCTTTATAATCGTCTGTTTTGAAGAAATTAAAAAATTAAAAAGGCTTAAAATGCCACACTGGATAGCCCCGTATTAAAAACAAGTAAGAAAGTTATATTGGTCGGGGCCCGAATCTCGCATACCCACCATTGTGCTTTTCGCATTCTAATCCAAAAGTTCTCTTATTTCATACCCATATCGCTGGTATTATTAAGAAACAAGTAATCTCGGCGTCTGCCATATTCATTTTAGAATTAACCCATTTTTAGACATATAATATGTACTCATTTGAGGAATGTACAAAATAGTTTTAAACAACCTATCTTGTTTGCGTTGTGATAAATACGCATAAACCCTCAAAAACGTGTTATTAATTATAATTTTATGTGGGCATAGTCGATTTTTTTCCATTTTTGCACGTAAAGAGTAGAGTGTTTCGTGAAGTAAATGTGGAAAATTTTAGCCTCTAACTCTCATAATTTCTGAGCAAAAACCCACAAATTTTTATTAAGAAACACGGATTTGCGTTCAGTTTATGTTCCACTGCCGGCTTCTATTTTGACCATTTTAGCCCATTTTCAATACCAACCTGCGTGCAGACACTTCCAATGTTTCTATCAAATTTAAAGTCGATATTTTCATTTTTGCGAGCATTAGACTAGCAAAAAGACACGCGATACAGACGGACAAACATGGCTAAACCAACTTAGAATTTTATGTTGGTCAAGAATATATATACTTTATAGGTTCGCTGAAGCTTCCTTTTGGGTGTTACATACATTATGGAAAAAAAAAAACAAAATGATTATAACCCCCATCTTACAGTGGTGGGTATAAAAAAAACACAATGGTTGATGGCACTGTCTTAAATAGTTTACTAATATTTGTTTTCAAAATCACTGTCATATCGCTTTCTAGTTATATATACCACTTTTAAATGTAATGGCTCCACTAAACTTGTTTATTTTTAATAGTAACTCGAGCTGTGTTGGTGAATATAAACAAGTAAGAAATTTATATTCGGCTGTAGCCGAATCATTTGTAACCACAGGTGTTATCTTAAAAAACACTAGAAAACAAGGAAAAACTAAATATTTATACCTTTTAGTTTTGGGTGGGTATGGCTGATTTTTCCTATTTTTTTAGAATAAAAATGAAAATTTATATGTATGCTATGTCTGCGAAATATATCCTCACTTTTACAAGCACGTGTGCGTTTAGCACAGCTACAGAGAGCAGGGACAAAAGGACTAACAAACATATCTGCAATCTAGGCTTTACAGAATCTCTAAAGTTTCTTTCTGGGCTCTGCTGGGCTGTGCAAAAGTTTTTACAAAAGAATTAATTTTTAATATCCAATAATGCTGAGTAGGTGTGGCCAATTCTTTCCGTCTTTATAAAGAAACCTGCAGAATCACCCATAGCATATAAAGGCAGACTTTTGTCGTTATGTCTGTTGTGGTTTATAAGTCATGATCAAAAAATAATTTTTTTTAAGACAGGGGTTATTTCATTTTATGTTGTAGGCGTGTCCTTTCAGCGATTTGGCGCGATTTCAATGCCTGAGTGCAAGAACTTCCAATTTGAAACAGATGTCATCGTCTTTGCGATCAGAAGGGTGTTTACCGTAGACGTTACATAGGCACACCGACAGACATACGTGCTTGAATCGGTCCAGGAATTACTAACGATAAAAATTATATATATTATTATAATTAATTTAGCCAGAAAAATAAATTTAAAGATACTGGCATCTCTGACTCTATCGATTGTATTGAAAAATCTACCGCACTCGAGATATGCGTTGTTCATCGAGGTCTTTAGGCTACCCAGGCGCATGAAGCCACTCAGGCGGATGAAGAATATATTTGTTTAGGCGTCCCTGAAGCTCCTTTCCGGGTTTTCGAAACGTGAATCTACTTCTCAACATACGGCGGAAAATATAAAAACGGACAGATAATATTACTGTACCTTCCACCCCCAATGATGAATGGGAGATATTAGAAAACTTTCTATCCTCCACGATATATGTTTAGTTACTACATTCCAGCGTAACATTTTCATGTACAGCATTGTCTCTTTTTCGCTAAAGAGTTTCTAAATTATTTTTGAGACAAGTTGTAGCAAATTGCTTTTTATATTCATTTTTTATATCAAATTTTCCTTAATTTAAAAAAAATCTTTTTTTTTTTTTTTTTTTTAATTTCAATTTCTTTTGCGTTCATATCTTTGGTTAGAGTTTACGATTTTTTAAAAAATTTATTTATTATTTTTATCATGATTTATTTTTTATATTATTTTATTTTATTTTTATTTTCTTTTGTTTTTGCTTTTTTTATTTTTTTTTATTTTTCAACCTTGATTTATACCCTCGTCCAGATCACGTAGGGCTAGTCAAGATGTTACTTTAATGTCAGGCAGTTTTGATAGTTTATCGGCACCCGTGCGCAGGTAAGTTAATATTTTAAAATATTTTCGTTTAAAATTCATTTATAAAATCATGATTTATTGAAGCATAAAAAGATATTCATTACATACAACTATTGAATATATACTATTGTACTAAAACAAATTAAATTTACGATTATTGTGTTAATAATTTTTTTTTTTTTTTTTTTGATGACGTAAGCATGTTTTCCGCACGTGTGAATGTATTAAAAATTATGATGGAATTATCCCTTAAGATCTTAAATTATTTGTAATTTCAGTGGAAATAACCAAAATGAAAAAAAAATTTTTTTTAAATATTTTATTTAGTTTTTTTTTATAACTTACGAAACAAATTTTTAAAAGAAGTTATGTTAGGTATGTGTAAAAGTATCCGCCGATTTTTTTAATAAAATTAATAGCGTTTTATAAAGCAAGTAAGTTATATTAAGTTTGGATCAAATCGGGCGTACCCGTCGCTAATAAAAACCTGATGCCCCTGATTTTTATTCCTGATTATAAAAAAGTGACTGCAATAAGATTTATCTTCCGCACTTTAGTTTACTAAAGGATATTGTTAAGAAAAAATGAATCTTCCACATCGTGACGCCCGCCATAATTAATGTAGAACATACTTAATGTAACATACTTAGTTTGTCGCCTTCTACTCCCCCAGTCCTCTTATTTGATACCCATATCGACGGTATTGTGATGATAAAATAAATCCACTACGTCGTTTTGATAAGAAAAAATTAATTCACCACGTCGTCACGTCCACCATAATTAATGTAGAGTAACATAGTTAGTTTGTCGCCTTCTACTCTCCAATTCCTTTTATTTGATACCCATATGCACGGTATCGTGATGATAAAATTAATCCACCACGTCGCGACGCTCATCATGATTAATGTATAGTCAACATATTTAGTTTGTCACCTTTTACCTCTCAAATCCTTTTATTTGATACCCATATCGACAGTATTGCTAGGAAAAAAAGAACTCACCAGGTCGTAGTATCCACCATATTACAAATAACCCATTTTTACGCAGATAATATATCTTCATTTGAAAAACGCACAAAATAAATTTAAACATCCTGTCCTGTTTATCTTATGATTGATAAGGATAAAAACTGAAAAAAATTTAGAAAAAAAATGTAAGCCCATGTAACTTTGTGTGGGCATGGCCGATTTTTTTCATTTTTTCACATAAAACGTAGACTTTTTCCTTAAGTATATGTGAAAATTTTCAGCCTTCTAATTTTTATAATTCCTGAATAAGGAGCAAACACACACATATTTTTCGTAAGAAAAACGGATTTGCGTTCAACTTATACTTCACTGCGGGCTTCTACTCCAGCTAACCAATTTAGTTCATGTTCACTACCAATCTGCCTGCAAAATTTTCCAATGTTTTTACCAAATTTGAAGTCGATACCATCATATCGTAAACAACACATAGCATACAGACACAAAGAAAGACAGACGGACAGAAATGGCTAAATTGATTCAAAATTTCGCGGTGATCAAGAACATACACACTTTATAAGGTGTCTGAAGATTTCTTTTGGGTATTGCAAAGATTTTCCTAAGATGAGTAAGCTCCTATCCTTCAGTAGTAGCTATGAAGACACTAGAACTTCCTTTGCTTATTCGATGTATTGTCCAACAATAGCAGAAACACTGCTGAAAACACTGCTAAAGGGACAACTGATTTTTTCGGCTATCCAAAGGGAGTAAAGCTGCCAAGTTTTTCTAAGCGAGGATTGATGTATGGGTAAGAATTCCTTCACATAGAAAACTCATGACATCGTGACTTTTGACACATTGCTCCCATAACTCGTCCCGGTTACATCAATTGTTATTACTAGGTTTCTCTGCTGGTGGAAACAAGCTATAGTGCACCGTGGCCAGTTGCCCCGCCAAAACGGGTTCACCATTGCAGCTTGGCTTTATGGTCGATGTTAATCGTTCTCCTGGTTTGGCTATTTCAGCTTTAGATATACACTCGTAAGGACTTAACAGAGCTATCCTTCAAATTGAACAAGAAGATAGAGTTCTTTGGGCAAAAGCTATGCCTATTCGCAGCTTCAAGCAATTAAGTTATGTAAGCTTTAGTCGAATAACTGATATAGTTGCGTGCAGCTTAAACATTGCGGTTTCGAATGCAAAAATCGCGGTTTTACGAACCACTCATTCTTCTTCTTAGCAAAATGGCGAAGCCATATGCATACAGATAACAGACAGAATTTGTAGATTGGTGGCGAATGCTTCGTATATCTAGTATATATCTAAGCATATCTAGTATATATCTAAGTATATCTATATATCTAGTATATATCTTCGTATATCTAGTATATATCTAAGTATATCTACTTATCGTGCTTCTATTGAATTTTGCAAATAAATCACATATCGGAAATTCCATAAGCGATTTACTTTCTCTTAGAAAAAGCTCAGAGCCATATTCATACACCTAGCAGATAAAGCTTGCAAAGCTTTGCTTAGCACACTAAAATGCAGCCGATACTCTCTCTTCCCCAAAGAAGCCAAAGAGTCAACGTTCACCCTTTTTAAACTGAAGATGAGTGCTTCATAATGCTTACTACAGAACTTGTTTTAGGTTCTTACAAATGAAACAAATGTCGGAAAGTCCATAAACGAGGCCAATCTCCTATCTATAAGATAAAGAGTCGTGTTGCTATTATATCGTATAGTCGTATGCTTTATTATATCTATTAAAGGAACTCTGTTAGATTTGTAAAGTGGAACATATATCGAACCGCTCACATGACAAAGTCTGGCTGTCTGTCTGTCTGCCTGTGCCTGTGCATCTATTCAACTCTCAATAATAATTTCGAAACTGTGTTGTTCTTATCACTTTCGTCGGGCTTAACCCTAAATATCTTCAAATTTGCTCTATTATGCACTTTTCCAGACAAATCGTATAAAAATAGGATTTCAAATATATACGAGGTATATACGTGAATGGTACGATATACATTGAAATTTTAATATTTGAAATTTATACGATATACTGTATGTACGGTCCGAGATACGATCACTGTACAGTCTGAATGGAATTTTGCTTTACTTTCCAATCAAATAGGGTATTGAAGATGGGCACCTTTGCCTTCCCTTTTTATTTTAAAAGAATTCCAATATATAAAGATTTGTACATTTAAAGAATTCCACGTTAAACTTTTCGAAGACATAAAGCACTTAACTCCATATCGAATCATTCATCCGTTCACTAGGTCATATCGTTCATATTAAAAAAAAAATTGTCTACATGTGTATAGGGTTTGTGTGTCAAAATTATCTAAATATACATATGTACGATCTTACAAAAAAAAAAAAAATATATATATATATATATATATATATACGTGTGTGTGTGTGTATATACATATATACATTTTTGTTTTGATTTACGCTGCATATATACAACCGCACTATATATATTGTCGTTTGTCATGCTTATGGTTATATTGGTTTACGACGACATCAAGTCGCCAGAACTGAAAGTAGTGCGGCTAACAGACCGACTGACTGACTACCCAACTGATACACAATCGCGGAAAAACACAAAAAAAAAAATAGACACGAAACTAAAAAATCGATAAGGTTGTTGACATTGTGCTCACTACGTAAATAACGCTGCACGCAATAGTGTAAATTTGTGATTATATTTATTAGAAATATTTCGCAGGCATGTCCAACTATGTGTGAATCTGTTCATGTATTTTTATGTTCATGCTACAAGCCGCAAGTTTTGAGAAATTTGTGACACTGACGTGCTTTGACCCAAGCACGAAGCACTATATTGAATTGGTCAGCTTTTTTGACCACTCCCCATAAAACTGAATTTTTATGTGATAAGAAGACCTAGTTTTGAATTCCCATAAAACTGCAGGTTTATGTTATAAGCAGATCTAGTTTTTACTTACTTCATCGTGAAAATTGGTTCTTAATAACTAATTGACAAAGAAATCAACCTTTCCAAATTTGGATCAGGGTGGGCCTATTTTTTGCATGCCACCGCCTATAAGGATTCTCATGAAATATATAGCAAAAAGCCTAAATTTGTAGTAAATTAACATAAAAATTAGACCTATTTCTTGGATCCCGCTCCATAAAAGATTTGTCCGAAATGTTGACCCCTTCAGAAAAAGTTTTCAATTTTAATACTTTATGATGGAAATTGGTGCATAGTAGCAATTTAGTAGAAAACAAGCAAAAACATTGTAATCGGGCAACGCCGACTATTAGATACCCTACACCACTTCGTCTAGTGCAGATATTCTCTCGTTTTGATGATAATACACCAAAAAGTAAAAATTTTTTAATGCACATATCCTAAGACGTCTAAAATATTTGCCCCACCTATTACGTTGCTTAACTGTCCCAGCAACCGGGCCAAAGGAAACATTGTTGTTAAAAAAAGAAAGTCGATATGACTTACACACATCACACACAAAGTTATCGCACTCATCCTTTTCTTCTATTATAAACAGCAGCAGATAATCATTCGTGTACATAATTATTACCCCAATTACTCGATTTAGAGTTAATTAAAATGACTTTAAGGTAAAAAAAAGCTAAATCTACTAAAAATTCTTTTTTGTTATTAGTCATCTCTTTAATGACTTAAATCATTTCCGATAAATGGCAAAAACGAAGCCATGAAAAAGTCATAAAAGAGACGTAATTGCGTATTTATGTATTTTGTTGATTTCTAGCTGTAAAGTTTTATTGAATTCTTTTTATTTTTTTTCTTGAATTCAGTTTCCCTAGAGACTTGTAATTTTTACTCTTTCTGATGACAAAAACACGTTTCATTTCTTTTTTACAAATTTAGAGGCGTTGCAATCGGTCATTAATGGTAATAGACAATAATGCGTATTGTTATAGTTATTTCTATTAGGCTCAATAAGACAATAAGAGAAAATAAGTTGTAAGAAAACAACTAAAATCATTGCGGTCCGGCAAGGCCCTCCACTAGATAACCGAAACCGCTTCGCC